AAATTATTTTTAGATCATTATTTTAAATTAATGCTCCGCCGGATCCCAGTCCTGCCAAATATTTCAAATTTTGGCAACCTTTTTCAGTGAGTGGGCCCAAATGGCCAGAATAACCCCGGTCAATAAATAGTCGCTGCGTTCTCTTTCGTCCAATTTTTCTCCCTCCATATCCTTGCCGTCCACGTGGCAACAAAAATGTGAATCTGGCTGACAGATTTTCGCGTGGTTCCCCATTGTCTGTACCTCGTCATAAACATTCTCTGTGTCTTTGATAGCTGCCGTGGTCAATAATTCTTACCTGCAGCTTCAGCTGGAGGAGGAATTAAGGGCTCAATTCTTTTCACCTCTACTTATCTGCTTTGTAAGTTTATTATGCTTTTATGATCACCTTGAATGGTTTGTTTTCTTTACACCTCCGTTTCTAAAATAATTATAGTTTTTTAATTTTAAACTTATCGTAAAGTAATTATTATTATTATTATTATTTTTTAAATAAATAAATATTTTTTTACTTTAATTTTATTATTATATATTTATTTTAATTAATCATTTATTTATAAAAATTATCCTTATTTATTTTAAGAATAATATTTTTTAAATATATAAATTTAATTAATAATACATAAAAATTATACAAAAATATTAGGTAGAATACCCAAATTCACCCCCAAAGTATAGTGACAGGGACGGATCCACCCTCGAACAAAAAACGGGAACAAATCCACCCACAAAATTTTCGACTTAAACAAATTACCTCAAATTTAACATGTGACGTCATTTGACATCAGTAATCTGTTAATTTGACGTCATCTGACATCAGTAATCCGTTAACGAATTAACGAATTGCTGATGTCAAATGACGTCACACGTTAAATTTGGAGTGATTTGTCAAAGTCGAAAACTTTATGGGTGGATTTGTCCTCGTTTTTTGTTCGAGGGTGGATCCGTCCCTTCCACTATATTTTGGGGATGGATTTGGGTATTTTGCCAAAATATTATCCTATAAATACTATCTATGAGTTAATGCACTGGATTCCACCCCCGCCAGATATTTAAAATTTTGGCAGCCATTCAGTGAGCGGAAGTTACTATTCCCCAAATGGACAGAGTACGTCCCGTCATAAACATTCTCTGCGTTATCTTCGTCCAGTTTTTGTCCGTTCATATCCTTGCTGTCCACGTGGCAACAAATGTCAGGAGGGAACAGGTCGTACTAATCTGCAGACAGATTTTCAACAAATGTCAGGAGAAAAATTGTTGGCAAATGACAATGGAAGGTAGGAAACAGAAGGAAAACGACGAGGATGAAGGAAGAATGTTTTAAATTGATAAAGGAGTTTTTCTTTAAAAGAATGATCAGGGGATTTTTTTTTCAAAAGAGAAAAATTGCAGAAGAAGTTTACAAATCTCGACAAGTGCATATATGATATTTTTCCGAAATGACTATTAAAGACAAGTAATCTTTCAATACACTTTAAAGAACTTTAATAGGAGCATTTCCACTAAATTAAGACAAAATTTGAATTCTTTACTAAATTAAGAGAGAAAGTAAAGAAATTTTCCATTTGTTTTTAGGTCTTTCGAGCTGTCCAGCTTATGCTGTATTTATTATATTTTTTATTATTAATTTATATAAAAAATTATAAAAATAAATTTTATGTTCAACCCAACATCTCATAAAATGATTTAATTAGATAATTAATAAAATTTAAATTAATTATTATATTTTTATATAAATTAATAATAAATATTATCCTCTTAACTCGTATCGTTGCTTTAAAAAATTCCTTTGTTTTTTTATATCATGCCTTGCTGCTATATATGTAGGTTGAAATGTGATCGCCTCAATGTACTAAAATATCTAATCTAGATGAGTCTTACACAATGCAATTATACGTTTAGGCGGCGTTTTAATGGGGAAGAAAATTGAGTAGTACTAGGGGCAGTCGCCTTTTGCACTCTCCAACCAACATTGCTTATTTATTGGACCACGTCACTATACATTTAAGGCAACGAAAGAGCAACTGGTTTGAATTGAACTGCAACCTGTTGGAGTATTTTTTATATATATACTTTCAACTTCAACCAATCACCTTTTTTCTTTTGTTAATTTTATCAACTTAAAAGGACTAAAGTACCCTTCGTCTTCCTCTCCTCTTAATTTTCCTCTCTTCCTGCATTTTCTCTCTCATCCTCGTCAAAACCCCCAAACAGCCATGGGCACCAAATTTTAATCTACAAGCTCCAATGGAACAAAATTTCAAAAAATTCAAATTTTAAATTAATTAAAGCTAAATTTTAAAACTTAAATTCTTGTCTTGGTACTCAACTTCAAAAATGAAAAAAAAAATGATGATGAAATATTCATTTAATCGCTAAATCATTGTTAAAAGAAGATATAAATTTCACTTCATAAGTATGATATTACTCAAATTAGCGATTAATGCTCAAAAAAAGTCTTATTCGATTATTTTAAGTGGATTTCAAGAAAAAGAAGAAACAAAAAGAAATTTCTCAAATCTAATATCAATTTTTCATATTTAATGTTGTAAAAAGAGTGCTTAGGCAGCATCATTTTGTCTGCATCAGCCCAGATTTTAGGTATTGTTTGGATTGGAGGTGTCGGACGGAGAGGGAGGGGAAGGGATGGGGACGGATGGCAAGGGAGGGGGAGCGAGGGGGCTGTCTCCTTCTTTCTATTTGGGTTTCCAAAGAAGCAAAACGGGAGGGAGATAGACTAATTCGGACTCCCTCCAACCACCCTCAAATCTGTAGATTTGCAATCCGTCCGATTTGGAGGGTTTGAGAGGAATTTGAATGACTGTTTAGATTAGATTAAATGTAATTACAAAATTAACCTTAATTTTTTTATTATATCCTTCTCCATTACAAGTTTAAAGGATAAATTTGTAAATTTTAAATTAATTTAAATCTTTTCCTTCTTTCCCTTCCTTTTACCTTAATTATCCAAACATAAAATAATACAATCCTTCCCTTCCCTTCCCCTTCCTCATTTTTATTTATCCAAACAAAATTAATACAAATCATTTCCTTCTATTTTTTTCCCTTTCTTTTCCTCCCCCTCCATTTCCTTTTATTTTCCTCCATTCCCTTTCTTTTCCTCCCCCTCCATTTCCTTTTATTTTCCTCCATTCCCCTCCCTTCCCTTCCCTTTACTATTTTCTATCCAAACAAGGGCTTAGGTAATGTCATTTTACTCTCAAAAATTCAATGGGATTTTATACCATTTAGATCCAGACACTATTAAGTATGTTTAATGGTCTTGAAGCGTTTGAATAAATGTTTTTTTATTAATTTCTCAATCTAATAAAATGATAATATTCAATTTATTATAAAAGTTATATTAAAAAAATTAAATATCAAGTAATTATTTTAAATTTTATTTTTTAGACATAATAATAATAAATAAATATTTAATTTTTTATTTATTTTATAATTTTAAAATTATTTTACATTTTTTTATTAAAAAATTATTAATTAAAAAAAGAAAAAACCGCTTAGGCCTTACATATCACCTAGGCACTTTAAGCTCTAGGTTGCGGATAACCGTTTACCATCGATTAATGCTTTCTGCAACCTTGTTCATATTTACCTTTGTGCTTCAACTAAAACTCATCTGCTGCAAATTTAGTTGTTGAATTGTTTGTTAAAAAATAAAAGAGAAAAAGGAAGTCGCAGAATCATTGGATAACAGCCGAGTCGGTGGTGAAGGGCAAAGAAATGCTTTATCTGGAATTTCTCTTTCTTAAAACCTGCTATTGAAGGTTGCCCGTCACTCTTTAAAAGTAATGTGACGTGGCCCAATAAATAAGCAGGTGTTGGTTGGAGAGTGCAGAAAGCGATTGCACCTAGCATTGCTCAGGAAAATTTCCATTCACTTTTCCCTTCTCTTGGGTTGTTTTAGTGTTGTTTATGTATTTTCATATTTTAAATCACAACAAAGAAAGGTAAAAATAAAATTCTTAACTTTTATGTTATCTTACATAAATCTAATTAGTAAACTTTTTTTTTTTTATATTTTTTTTGAAGAGAAATTTTTTTTCTCTAATTTCGCTTATATGGGACCCATTTAATAATTTTTACAAACTTGTTTTTATGTTAATTTTTTACCAAACATAAAAAACTTACCAACTCAACAAAATTTTGACATTTTATCGTAAAACTAATATAATAAATTTTTATATTGTACTTTTTACCTTTTGTACTGTACTTTCTTAATAAAATTGGCTTTTAATTAAGGGTTTGTCTGGTGTAATTTCTTAAGTTTTTTAATTGTTTTATATTATTGCCCCGCTCTTGAATTCTTAATTAAAGCTGCAGCTTGGAGAGGAAGGATTTAAGATCATCTCTTCATTCATCATCTGTAGGTTTGATGTGGCT